ATATTCCATTTACGCAAGTTTACTCAATGTAGTAACATCATGAACATAAGAGTAAGCTAATAGTCAATGGTGTAGACTTTGTGGTCAATAGCATTTTTCTGTGATTAGTTATTAATCTACTAGATCGTTATAGCAGCATATTCTCTCTTCAAAAGCAACCCGCTCTAACTCTACTAAATTTGAAGGTTGTCTTGAATAATCCCCCCACTTTAACATATTACCATACATTTTTTAATAGAATTAGGTTTTCAACGAATTGCAGACCAATATAAAAAGTTGATTCAGTTTTTGAGTCTTTTTTTTTAATTTCACCTGCGACATTGTACATTAAATATCGTTAAATTGCAAAATAAAAAGCCATTTTTTAATAGGCCATCCAGCACAATCCGTCAATTTCTTTCTTTTGGCATTTTTCATTTTTCATGGTACTGATAATTTTAAACGAACGGCCCGTTACAGTTCCATGATAAAATACCCAAATCCTATCCGGGCTACTTCCATTTTTACAATGGTGATGGCGTTTCTCGTGATCATGGTTTCCCTCAACACTCGCTGTGACTGATTCCGACGAAACAAATTTATCTGAGTTCCATAATCTTTTTCTTTCCAAAGTAGGTATATGCAAGCACTATTCGGGCCTTGCAATGATGATTTTTGCGGTAAGGTGTGCATTGGACGGTAAATATTTGAGCATGTTTATTGAACACCTTTTTTACCGTACATTGTAACACATTTACTCCAGTGTTTGAAAAATCGTAAACAATATATTTGATACAAATTTAGCGTCCTCACATTCACAGTCCTTCTTCGCAATCTTAGAGATTAACCTTACGGCTCCTTCAAAGAGAAGTTGTAATGGCTTTTATATCACGATATTTTCCTATTATTGATTCTACGGTCGGCTTAATTGTTGCTGTAAAATCCGGAATTACACGCATTCATAATTCATTATTTACACTTTTACTCTCAGACTATTGTGACTATCTTTGGTGTTGCTCCCACAATGTTTCTATGACAATAAATAAAGTGGTCTTTGTAGGTTATTTGGATCGATATAAACCCGATGAAGGCTGGATGAAACAACTATCGAAACAATGTGATAACATCAACAAAGATGAGGATAATAGTCTGAATGCAAATACTGTAGGGATAACTTTTCATCCCAGAAATTCAGATAGAAATTTTAATTCGTAGTTTTAAATTTGCAGGCAATCGTGTTGTGTTTCCTAACGAAATGTGCACGCTCTTTATAGATATTTTAAAAAATTACAACTCTGCTACAAGTTGCTCAGCTATCTCATCAAAATATGATATAGATTAATGATGGGGTATAGTAATATTTTAGTGTGACAAGCGTAGGATGTGCACTCTTCGGCTTACTATGCCAACAGAATAAGGGGACAATTCGAGAATGAATTATTAACAGTGAATTTTTTTTTCTAATGAGTCTGAACGAGAGTGTTACTGTTATTGAGTGTTAATACATAAGATACATATACAGTAGGCATACATAAAAAAATATTTTCTGTGTATGTATCTAAATGTGTAATTGGCATACAGGATATTTCCCGTCTCTCCAAATTCGCGCGTCTAGGTCAACAAAGGAGAGGACATGGCCTGAAATCGATTGGGAATCACTGATATAAATGGTAAATATTTTTAAATTCCATAAATAATTAAAGTAAATCTCTGGTGTATGAATAATGCTATGCTTGGCAACGTTAATTCATTGATGCCTACCAAAAAATCCAGTATAAATAGTAAAAACTCGATATTACAGTTTTACATAAAAAAAAGCGTCGGCTATTATGTCTCAAATGTAATATAATTCCGCCAATATCGCAGTGATTTCAGGAAAATTTCATCACAAATTAAGAAACTTGAGGTAACAGAAACTTGATTCTGCAGATGAAAGCAAAGGTTACCATGGACTGAACATATAAATATTTTATATATCAATAGGATTAAAAAGGGCATTTATATTTAGCATCAAAAAGGCAATTGGAATTTCTAGGACATATTGAGGATAGAGGGCTTAGAAAACTTGACACTCACAGGAAATATTTAGGGTAAATGCGACAGTAATGCATAAGCTGCATAACGAGCATGCGTAAATGCTTGGCAGGGAAGGTATTAAGATAGATAGCAAAATAACAAACATTTTTTTCATCATCATCATCATCCGCTTGACTTTAGTAATCGTAGGACGGATCCGAATGCAGAAACCATACTAACTCTTTTCCACAACGGTCTATCATCGGCAGCCATCAGCAATTCTCGTACTCTCATATTTGTCCATTGTTTAACATGTTCCAAGCAGTTTTTTTCATTGCGTCCTCTCCTACATTTACCTTCAATGGTTCCTTGTATGATGATCTTGCACAGGCCGTCGTGCCTTGTAATTTGTTCAAACCACATCATTTTCCTCCATTTAACAGTAGCGATAAGAGGACTCTGGTGTCCCACAAAACTTTCAGCCCTTTTCCACAAACTCATTGGATTTTTTGTTGCCAACAGAAAATGCAAAGGAGTTTTCTCATGCATTTTTTCTCAAACGCTTGGACCCTTCTCTCTGTATCTGCCAACAATATCCATGTTTCACATCCATAGAGGAGAATGGAGACTACCAGCGATTTGTACAGTCTGTACTTTGTTTGAAAGTTTGAAAACTGATTTTGCTCCTCCATATACTTGTCAAATTGGCCATCGCCGCACCAATCCGTGTGCGGATTTGGAGAGGATATGGGTGCCGCCAAGCTATCTATAAACCCAGCGAAATGGACACGGCGCACAGAAGAATAAAATGGAACGATGGGTATTAATGTGTTAATGTTGTTTATAATGCAATATTTCAGAAATTGATTACAAGTATTTATTCGAATATATTTAGATATAAAATAATCCTTCAATAGTTGAAAAGGAATTATTTTAAGTGAAATTAATTGTACTGTACGGATAATTCAACGCCTTACTCAATAAGTGCGTTTATATTCTAACTAATCCTAAAATTACTTGTATATAGGACTAGCATGTGTATTCGGAAAAAAGATTTAGACTTGCTGTAAAGTGGTATTAATAAAATTGTACTAATTAATGCAGATCGCTAGGTTTGAACATTTGATAGACATTTATTCCCTGTACGGCATGTTGTGTTCTGACGTAATGTTAATTGCAATAGCATTCGAAGAAGTGATTCGGTAAATTCTTTAATGGATTGGATAGAGAAGTTAGAGATACTACTGCAAGACGCGAGGATATACGATGTTGCTTGTATTAAATGAAACGTTGAAAATTAAATTTGTCCATGCAAACTTTTTATTTACCAAAATATCTTTCTTTTTTAATGATGAAACCTTTTTCTTAAAGAAAAATTGAATAGATACAAAAAATGAATAGATAAACACAAAAACAAAAACTAAAGAGATACAAAGACTGAATAGACACAGACAAACACTTAATAGATACAAACAATAAACATTTTAGAAAACAAAACGATATCTGTCTATATCTCTGAAATGAGGCATTGTAACTATTTACAGTATTTACATGATTTGGACTTTTGTCCTAATCTGTGTTGTCATATTCAAGACGTTGTGATCGTTGTAACCTCCACTCCTCTTCAAGTGATTGGAATTTCGATCCGAACCTTTTATTTATTCCACCGGGGTAGATTGTTCTAATTCCAGGTGCCATTCCTTTCCTGGATATCTCAGTTGCGATTTCAGTATCTGGCCACAGGAGAGATGAACATAAACTTGGTGAGATGAGTCACTAAATGGAAATAACTGAAATTAAGTTATTCAGAAAAAGCATGGCACATGCAATTAGAACAGTTTTTCCCCGGTGGATGAAATAAAGGGCGTGGTTCGAAATTCCAATCACCCGAAGAAGGCCGGAGCTTACAACAACCGAAAAGTCGTGAATATAACGACAAAGATGGGGACAATTGTCCGAACAATGTTAATAGTGTAAATTAAGCAAAACGAGCAACAATATTTTTGAAACTATTAAAATTGAGATTTTCAAAATAAAGAAAGAAAACTGTTGACATTGATTACTTCCATTTATACCCTTATGTAATTCTCTTTACGCATCAGCGGCGTTCAAAATGCTATGGTCATTACCATTTTCAGGACAGACAATTTCTTATGTTAATAACTAAGGAAATTAATTATAAAAGCAATCAACAAAACAATCGCGTAACATCTGTTTAGATTTCTGAGATGAGATATTATAACTATTTATACTATTTACATTGTTCGGACTTATGTCGTCATCTTTGTTGTCATATCCACGACGTTTCGACGATTAAATGAGAGAAATTAAGTTATACACCATATAAATCACATGCTGATGGATGTACCGTAATTTCCCATGGATAATAAGACTTCATCGATAATACGCACTCCTAAAATTGCGTATTATACATGGGGAATTACGGTAAACGACGTTTATGTGCTTACATGATTATGCTCAGCTACAAGGTTTTATCTACGACCCTAGGCAGAGGAGGAAAGATCAGTATCAATCTGTGATGTTTGAATCGTCACATTGGAGATACGACTAAGAGCTGAGTAAATGAATCTTCAATTCAATTTAAATTTCCCTTGTGACATACTACGCCAGAGCTGGTGTGAGGTAAAGTACATTTATGTGATGTGACAGGTTGATGTAATATTTGCACACAACTTTCTATATTTAATTCATTTTACAAAGTTCTTGAATCTTTTACTTTAGATAATGTTTAGAAATACTTATACACACTATATGTTAGAATAAATATCACTATCATCCTTATTATCTTATGGTGATAGTAAAATTATATTCGGTATAATCAATTCGGTTCTCGGATATAATTTCCTAAGCGATTACCCTTTAATTATATTGTCCCGAAGTGATGTTCTCTTTTTCTTTTAAATAATTTCTAGTTACCTCTCTCTCTCTCTTCTTTTTCTTTCTGTTTTCTTGTCTGTATCAGGAAGGCGATTTGATGAATGCAAATGGCTTCGACTAGCAGATCGGATGAAAGGCTCACGGGGAAGCCTCCGTCAGACGACGAACTCGAAGTCATCGAAAATGGTGGATTAAGTTCTCAGCCTTCGATCCGGACGGACGATGATACCAATTCGGAAATCGTCCGGATCGACCAGAAGACGGCGCAGGATGAAACGTACCAGGTGACAGCATTTGGACGAATAGTCAAAACGCTCCAGGTAACAGCAATTTCCTATTATTTCCCATTTTTTCCAATTTTCCATTCGAACTCATTTTCTTCAATCCTGACCGGATTCTTTTGCAGCATCTTCCTCTATTTGATATTTTGTCTCGTGTCTTAGTTCACGGGTATTATGAGAAACTACATCCATCACAAGGCCTCTGATCTGGACATTGGATGTTTTTCAGCAACGTATAGCCACCTCTTAATAAGCTGATCCGAGGTGGTCTCTGCTATGGTCAAATAATCACAACTCCCAAACAAAAATCAAAAGACTACGAAAGTGCAAAACATAGATCTTATAGTAAATGTACCAGAAATACATTTTTATAGTAAAACTAGTAGCAATACATTTTTATGGTAAAACTAACAGCGAACATATTTATAGTAAAATTGCCAGCAACACAATTTTATGGTAAAATTTGCAAATTACCGAAAATACATATGGTAAAATCACCGACACTACATATTTATATTAAAATACCCGACAATATATATATATATATATATATATATATATATATATATATATATATATATATCATCAAACAGTTGAAACCCAACCTAAACCAAATCAATTATGGCATCACTACAAATATTCTTAAATGTCTATAATTGGTAACAGAACCATTGGTTTATACCAACGGATTTCCATACTTCATTCTCCAATTCACTCTCGTTTGGTCATGTGTGACGTGATGAGATGCGGTGCGATTTTCGCTTCTAGCGTCTTATATACGCGTGTTTATCGTTGCTTAGAAATCATCTATGTAAACATTGACAGACTATCATCACTGTCGTGTCCGTATATTGTTTAATATGTTGTAACTGACATCTTTGATAATGGCTTAAGTAAGCCGAAAGCTTAGATTATGTTAAAAAATATGGATCAATATTGTGAATTTCTTTCTTCGTTCAACGATAATGTTATTAAACTTATCAGATGTTACGAAAAATTTACATAAAATAAATAGACAACACTTGTCTATATTATTTAATGAAACGTGTATATATATATATATATATATATATATATATATATATATATATATATATATATATATATATAAAATGGCTCCAACACTAATATTCCATGGTTATAATTTATTACATTGGAATCGTAAAAGCTTTTCACGATCCAAATCATCAGACATACAAATTCAAAAAGCTTTTATATTATATTCTTACTCCGTCCTTGACATTGAGTTCTACCAAGATTCTACCCTCTTTGGGAATTATATATATATATATATATATATATATATTTTGACGACTAATATATATATATATATATATATATATATAAACATATATACATATTTAATATGAAATTAAAAACATTAAGACATACACATAAAGCACACACTCAATTAAGCTGAAAAATCGAATCATCCTTGATAATGACAAAAGGTATAGCCGAAAGCTCTCCGAAATATAAAACATTTGGACAGTTCTTACATATCCATTGTCTAGAAAGGAAAGCTCTTGTTGGAACACAAGAAAAATTAAATTAAAAGTTAACAGTAGTACCTTGTGGTTTTTAATGAAACATGCATATATATATATATATATATATATATATATATATATATATATATATATATATATATATATATATATATATATATTAAATTAGACAATACATTTTTATGGTAGAATTATCAAAACTACAGCACTAAAATGTATACAACTACATTAAAATCAAAAATCAATACATTTTATCGTCTCCAAACGATACCTAGAATGACAAATGTTTGCCTTGGAATTATAATATTATTACAAAATCTCTGTATTTGAAGATATAAAATTATGTACAAAATATTTACATTTCTGCATTGAATAATCAGTAGAAATATATATATACAGCTAAAAAGAACAACGAAAGCAATTTTCCATGTTTTTCCTGTTCTTGTATTTACCGATTCTGTTGTCTTTTATTATATTTCCTTGTAAATTATATTCGTCTTTTAAATGTGCCTTTGTATGATGCAAAACTTTTCAATATTTTTTAATAAATTGTAAATAATTTTTTCCAACTCACTATTTTCTCGTCCTTATCAAGGAACTGTTTTTATAATTTCTTTGAATGTTTTCATTTTTAGAAACTTTTTAATTTTTCGCTTTACCAATTCTGCCTTGTATGTTCCATTCCATATTTTCCTAAATTCTTGCTAATTATTCGGTTCCTTTCCATGAAACATTATTTTCTTCCTTCTTTTTACATTCAAATCTTTTGTTTGCCGCCTTCACTCTTTGTTAATATTTTGCAGCTTCAGTATATTTTAGCTTGAAGGGATACGTGGAAAAAATATTAAAATCATTTTGGTGTTTCTTGTACGATTATTTTATGAAGTATAAAATTCCATGCTAGATGAGAATAAAAATTCATATGCGTAGATTTTGATAACAGTCATTCAATTTTGGCTTGATTTCTGGAGCGCTCTTTCTATTGTTATTGATATGTACGGACTAGTTTTCCCGTAGGGATTAATCGTCTATAACATTGTGGAAAAACGAGATGAATCTGGTGAGAATAAATCAATGTATAATCGCGTGTTATATTTTTCTAATCAGCAGGTCTTATAATTAATGTTCTAATTAAAACAACTTTTGGCAGACTCAAAACAAAACAATCTGTAGTTCTAATTGTGACTGCATTCTTCCGCTTTTCATACGTTTTACAAATGTGCAATTATCGAAGTATAGATTGGAACGTGATCACGAGTCTCAATGATACTGTGTAGAATAACGCTGGGAAACTTATTACTAATGATTTCATGATAAGACATTAAGACATTATTGAAACCTACCGAATTTGAAATTTCCACGAAGAAGGTCGGAGAGCAAATTGGTCCCAGATTATATTTTCCTGTAAAATTCTTCATTGTATGAGTGTTTACCTGCATGACTCATTCTTTCTTTCGCTTTGCTATTCTGTTCTATTTACATTATTTGGACTATTGTCCTCATCTTTGTCGCCATATTTATTACATTTTGGCCGTTGTACGCTCCGACCTTCTTCATGTCGAACTGAATCCTTTATTTCAATCACTGGGTTAGACGTTTCTAGTTCCAACTGCCATGTTTTAATGGATGTCAGTTATCAGTTATCTCCTGATAATTCCCCAATCTAATTTCTTTACTGCATTAACCAGGTATTGAACTCACACTCTTTGGGTCCTGTCACTGGTTCTAATTTACTCCTTTATGCCAAGTGTCCTTGAGGACATATGTATATAACTTTCTGGGTATTATAAATTTAATTTCTTCAGCAAACTTCTTTTTTTTTTACCAGTGCTCATATTGCAATTTTTGCTGTTATCATTACATGTTATTACTAGAGCTCATATTGCAATTTTTGTTGTTATTATCGTTTTTCTTTGGCACTCCTTATTACTGGTTCCCATATTGTATTCATTTCTATGCTTAGTCGGCTCAGGAGATTTTTGTTTCCTAGCAACAGTCTACCCCAGTGAGCGAAATAAAGAGTTCAGTTTGACATTCCATCCATCATTCTTCAGGTGGTTTGAATGTCAAACTGAACCCTTTAAAACGTACAACGTTCAAAACAGTGTAATAAACATGGCAAGAAAGATGAGGACAATAGTCCTCAGAATAATAGATACTGAAAGGCCGAAATTTTGTATTATGGCAAGAAAGATGAGGACAATAGTCCGAATAATGTAAAATAGTGTACATAATACCTCATCTCAGAAATATAGATAGATACTGAAAGGCCGAAACTTTGTAATAAATATGGCAAGAAAGATGAGGGACAATGTAAATAGTGTACATAATACTCATCCGAATATATGATAAAAGGCCGAAACTGTAATAAATATGGCGATAGGACAGAATAATTTGAATATTCTTTCTCAGAAATTAGACAGATTTTTTTAATAAATATGGCTTTCTTGTTTTTTGTTGTTGTATATAGACAGATACCCCCTTTGTGCCCATCTTTTAGTGTACCTCATTCATTATTTTTTCTTTCTTGTTTTTTTGTTGTTGTATTACAATTCCCCCTTTATTTTTCTTTTCTGTTTTTCTTTATACCTTATTCTTTTCTTTCTCTTGCATTTTTTCTTTTTTATCTTCTTTTCACATTCATCTTCTTTAAATACTTAAACTTCTATACTTCCATCTTTACCTTTTCCATAACCTACTTCTCCACCAGCTTCTTCTTTTCTTCTTCTTCTTCTTCTTCTTCTTCTTCTTCTTCTTCTTCTTCTTCTTCTTCTTCTTCTTCTTTTCCTTCTACTTCTTTACCTTCTCTAGCTTCTTTTTCTCCTCTTCCTCTTTTTCTTCTTTTATACATTCTTCTTCTCATTCTTTTTCTCCTTCTTCTCTACCTCCTTCTTCCCCTTCTTCTTTACCTCCTCCTCCTCCTTCTTCTTCTTCTTCTTCTTCCATACATTCTCTTCTTCTCATTCTTCTATATATTTTTGCCCCTCTCCCTCTTCTATACATTCTTCTTCTTTATTCTTTATTCTTCTTCTTTCTTCTGTTTCTTCTTCTTTTATAATTCTTCTTCTTCTCATTGTTCTTCTACTTCTTTACAATATTCCTCTCCTTATTCTCTTTATAATTATTATTCTCCTCCTTCTTTACTGTTTCTTTACCTCTTTCTTCTTCTTATTTAGGTTCTACCTTCTTCACCTTCTTTCTTACTTTTTTCTTTCACTTTTGTTCCTCTAATTTTGTATTCTTTCTATCTTCATTTGACTTCCATTTCTGTTAGATACAAAGCGTTTATATTGTTATATTTTGATTCCATATTTCCATTTTTTTTCAAAGATGCACCTAAACGTTTATATTTCCTCATTAATGGCAAAGATACTTTCCCAATGGCCACAAAATGCTAACGATGTAGAAATTACTGTTCATAAGAAATTTAAACAAAATTGTCAGGGAATAGTTCCACACTTCAAAATGTAGCAACATTTACGTCGCAGAGAAAACAAGAGATGATATACAAATTACTAATTAAGGTTTAATTTAAGTAATGATTTAACTTAACAGCTGGACTTTTACTTACTTTAATGAGAAATATATAAAACAAACTTTTACAATGAAAAAAACTATTTAAAAATGTAGATATTTTCAAGTTGGAAAAGCAGAAAAAAGAAACCATTGACTGTCTCCTATGGTATTTCTACAATATATTTCGTGGTTGGTTATTGAACTCGAAAGGCTGGTGTGTCCTGTGGTGGTTCGAGCCGATTATTCACTAAGATCGTGTCTGCGGTTTTCATGGGACCAAAATGCTCGATATGACCTGTCTCTGCCTCTTAATAAAATCAAATTATATATCGTTTCGCGAGGAGCAAGATTTCGTCTCCTGGCGTTAAGAAGAAGAGAATGTGGTATCAATTGACTGTTTTTGATGCCCTTAGCAAGGAAACACTAAGAACTACTTGACAGTGAAAAAGAAGCATATTCACGGTCGAATGAATTGGTACCCACAACCACCATACACTCCCACTTTTTTTGGTAGTCTCAATGCAATCACTGACTCGATATTTGCAATCATCAATTGAACCTATTAAATGTTTTAGAAATACTACATATATCCAACACCTGTGTCTGATTACTAGTGAATATGTCCCTAATCCTTAAAATGGACATTTTCTCTTTTACGTCATGCAGATAATGTTACAATTAAGAATGTTATCGACAGAATGGTAAGTGCGACGCTAAAATTCGAAGACGTATTGGAATCGCCAAAGACGCGTTCCAATAGCTAGGCAGAGTATTTCAGGAGGATTTCTTAGGTAACAAAGAAAAGTGTGCTGAGCTGCTACGTGACATCTGTCCTTTACGGCAGCGAATGTTGGACGGTCTCCTCAAAGATGAAGAAGAGACTCAAGGCATGGGTCTACAGAAGGATGTTGAGGATATCATGGATCGAGCGTGTGAGCAACCAGTAGGTGTTGGAGAGAATGCAAACAAGAAGGAAGATTATGCTTAACATCAGGAAGAGGCAGCTGAAATTTCTGCGACACGTAATGAGAAAGAAGGGCTTGGAGAATGGAGAAAAGTGAGGATATTTATTTTGTAAAATTACAAAAATTTTGGCACAAGGTGAAATATGATTTTCTAAGCGCAGCTTATATGTGGCACAAGACCGAATGCATGGGGCACCGAGTGAGGATTGAACTCACTATTCCGTTGTAATAGTTCTAGCGAGACGAGCTTCTTAACCATTACACCACGTCAAGGTGCCCATAGAGGGAAAGAGAGACAAGGAAAAACAACGCATGACATAACTAGCGGGGTAAGCCAATGGATAACAAAACATGGCCTGAGGGAAGAAGCAAAGAGACAAAACTTATTGAGAGCGACAAGGGATAGGGGGAAGTGGACAGCCATGATCACCTACGTCCTGAAGGGACATGGCACATACAAAGAAAAAGAAGCATCCAAGAGAGCAGGCTTCGAATAGACGTTGGTATTGCGGGGCCGCTGGATATTCTGCCACTTGACGTAGCATGTATCCGTAAGATCTTCTGGGAGAAGTTGTATAGTCCATTTTCCCATTTATTTAAGAGATGATATGAACTTGAAGGATACCTCAGTCATATCCGCAGAGCATCACTTTCTCCTTTTTTTTAACTATTTTCAAGAAGATGGTCATCTCCAAGGTTTCAACGCCCTCTCGGCTGGGCCTTCAGAATACGACGACTGCACCTCTGCAGAGGGGTAATACCAACCCTGCCTCAAATGAGGCGGCCTGGGTAAGACTATAAACTACAACTGCGTCTTGGTTAAGACGATAAACTACATTCAACAGCAAGGCCTCTGATCAGGAGGGTTTGAGGAGCGTGGAACCACCTTAATTGCAGGTGTTCATGACCCGGACTGGTAACACTTGTTCGCGTCTCAGCTATAAACTGTGCTCAAAACATTATGAAAGTGTAAAAATAGGTTTTAATACCAACAATGATTTTCTGAAGAAAATATTATTACCAGAAATGAATTTTTGTAGGAAATATTATTACCAGCAAAGCATTTTCGGAAAAAGAATGTTATCAGTAATACAATTTTGAAAAAAAAATATTACATGTAATACATTTTTGGCAAAAATATCAGCAATGCATTATGTCATTCGATGACAATTCGCTCAACGTAACCGAAAAGGTAATGTGACTGTTAAAATATGGTGCATAATTCTTCATATTATGTTAACCTGATACAGTCTTATATTAACAATTTCTTTTCTCGGACTTCACGATTGTGAAAGTCTCTTCTAGCTCCTTGCTTTCAAATAAACTTTGATCTTCACAAACTTAAGTGCAATGTCACTCGGCATCTTCCGTCTTCTTAATGCCTCTTATTTTATTGTTCCTTCTGATTTAGACTTAGTAAACCATTGCGTCTTTGTGGCTTTATTGCCTTGCTATGGTTGAACGGATTTAAAAAATATGAAGAGATTTTCACATATTCACTTTTAAAAAGCATATCATTTTAAAGGATTTCTAGCGGTCAGCAGTTGTCAATATTTTATTGTATGACGAAAAATATTTGCAAATATACTTTGACAGGAATGCTATAAAGATAAAACTAGATGAGATAATCAAGAAAGTGTGTTTACAAGGACAGAGTTATTTCATCAGAATTTAATATTCCTGAAATAATACTGCGCATAGTTTTAAATATGATTTACTGATTTGGATGAAGAATATTTTGATATTTCATGATTATTTCATAGAATAGAGGAGGTTTTCATCTTTTTGTCTTGGGCTTATCGTCCACGTCCCTCTCCATGGCAGCTGCATGAAACTGAAAAATCTGCAACCTTATGCAACATGCAGTGTCAGTTTATATTTATCAGACTGAAAGACTTTCTACTATCAATAATGCAATCACTAAACATCAGATTATTTATTTTGAAATGTGGGTTGAACTAAGAAACCTTTAAGATTATCATATATTTTTTCCTTATTTATGAATACCTAGGATAAATTTTCATTTTTAAATTAGGCAGAATACGGTGTTTATTCGTTCCCCCACCAGGACGAGATGTGGCACAAGGTCTTTTTAAAGTGGGGACCGAAGCGCGTGCACCCGGGCAATGGACAAAAATTCCCCTCGATGCGAGCACTGATCCCTCCTTCTGGTGCAATGGGAGGGCGCAGCCTCGGGCAGCTGTTCCCCAGGGCTGAACACCTCTTCAGTATTATTTTCTCAGTTGCTCCTCTTTCCTTTGACAGAGAAGCTCCTGAGTGTAATCTACCCAAAGTCAGAAACGCAACTGAGAGATGATAAGCCTGCGTTAGACACTCCTCCAAGGAGGAATTTATCCGCTAAATTAGGCAGAATACGAGATTAACGCCAAAAACTAATAATACAAATAAATCTTATACTTTTTTGTAACCAGACAGCTTGAATTTAAATAATATTAAATTACATCATTCGGTCCGCACAATACGCAGATCCAAATGCTTTGACTGAGATTGATTTTAGTTAGGTAAGAAATGTCATATATCTTTATTTCTTTCGAGTAATAAACATTCTACACATGACCCTTATCTAGGTATTTCACCTTTAATATCATTATGTTTTCGCTTTCTTATGTCAGTTACTCTCACTGTATCCATGTCTCTCTCTATCTCTGTATCCGTCTCTCTCTCTCTCTCTCTGTATCCGTCTCTCTCTCTCTCTCTCTGTATCCGTCTCTCTCTCTGTATCCGTCTCTCACTTACTCCCCGTCTGTTTCACTTACTCACTCTTTGCCTGCCTCACTCACTCACTCTCTGTCTGGCTGGCTGGCTCACTTGTTCTCTATCTCACTCACACTGAATCGCTCTCTGTCTCACTCACTCTCTCTTTATCACTCATTCTCTGTATCCCTCACTCTCTGTATCACTCCCTCACTCTCTGTCTCGTTCATTCACTCTCTGTCTCACGCACTCTCTGTCTAATTCACTCACTCTCTGTCCCCCACACACTCTGTCTCACTGTCTGTCTCACACGCTCACTCAATCACTCTCAGGCTTTCTCCCTTGCTCACTCTGTCTGACTGTCTCTCTCTGTCTCTCTCACTGTTTCTCTGGCCCTCTCTCTCACTCAGTGACTGTCTGTCTTCTTCGCCCTCTCTCTCTCTCTGTCTACGAGATTCTTTTTTCCAGGCTCGACCAAGTAGTTTTTTAAAAACTTCCGGCATTTTATAATTTGACCAGATTTTGGAAAGTGGTTCTGATCGAGAAATATTCCACACCCTCGTATTTCTCTAACCATTTCTCTCCTTGATATATATTCTTTGGGCAGATTTTTGAAAGCTTCCATTCTATATAAAATATAATTATGACAAGTATTGAAAACAAATATATTTTGTCATCTATTTTTACTTCTGTTACAGACATTAGCCAATTTAAACTGTGGACATAATCACTTGTTTTTTCTTGATACTTTTCAGTAAAGGTTAGACATGAAAAAGTTAAAAAAAAATAAAAATAAAGAAATTCTAAAACCTTTTAGAAATTAGGTAGTATATTTATTTACTTCATTATTCTACCATAATTA